GCATTCACGTAGGAACAGGATATTTCTAGAAAACATGGCGTGACACTAGTCACGTGACCTCGCTACCGCAACAGTATGTATAACGTACAACATGTGCAGTGTACAATGGACAACTGAACCATTATCTTCATTTTGGATCAACAGTAAAGTGATTACAGAAATAACATACAACTTGATCAATTTTCACTTGTTTCAATTAACCGGCAGCACCATGTGGCATGCAAGGCAGTGAATATAATATATACTTTTGGGGCAACGTTGTTCACACGAATGTACAGTCCAGTATAATGGATAGATATAGTAACAGCCATGATATCGCTGGTCATGCAGATTGTCAAGTGAAAGGTCTTGCTTTTCAAAACATTATGTAATCAACTAATCAATTGGATATTCCTGCTGCCTTTGTGTCAGAGCACATTAACATATTTAGTACAGATTAAATTTTTTCTTCATTTTCACTAATATATTTTACAACAAAATAATGTTGTGTTGTTTGCTGTAGTCAGGTGCTGTGTTTAGGCAGGTGGAATATTACTTTGTCTTTTTAATGCCACTTACAGCAACTTTCCTAACAATCTCAGCACTTGTACAAATCATTTCATTTTGAGATAAAAGTGAAGTGTAACCAGGGCATCCATGAGGATTAGTTTGTCTTTTTTTTGTTGATCTGGACTTGAGCAAGCAATAAGCTCAACTAACTAAAAAAAAACCAAAAAAAAACTCTTCTGTTATATGAGGATTCGGTTTCCTTGTGACCTTGGAAAAGAAGGTTTGGATGGTTCAAATATTTATAACATCAAGTAGCAGATATAAAATATCATGTCTCTGCTGACAACTGGGACAGTGTTGTTGAAAGTACTCCAAACTTCTTTATACTCAGCATACTTGTGAAAGCCTATCTCACGTTCTAGAACCTTAAACTGCTGTCTTTACCCATCTTCTTGAAATGTCACATCATAAGAAGGTTTGCCAAAACCCCTGCAACGTAAGCATTGTTACATATTAGAATTTCAAATGGTCTGAAATTGAGTTAATTGATAAATTTGAATTTAGTAGTT